TATACAAAGGTAGATAACAAATCTTACCAAACACAACATCAATCTTCTGAACCAATACATTTTTCTTTAGCTATATTGACATACATGGTGGAGTACATATAATATACAATATGCTGGAAGAAGGAGCCTGGTGTTCCAAAAGCTTGTCTTTTTTTAAACATGTTTAGTCAGCCATTAAAATATCTCCCTTTTGCAATACGATTTGTCTTCCTAGCTCAAAGAGTACATCAATTTTTTTGTTAGCTACCCAAAAAAAATGGAAAAGTATGGGCTCCACAGTGAGCAGTAATTTGTGACTGTCTGCACCAATATGTTGAACTTAAAGTGGACCTTCGCTGTTCAAAATGGCTTTAGCTCCTTTCCTCTCTGAAATATGAAACAATGCAATTTCTTTGTTGTTATTTGTTTGCTGGTCTTACCTAGGCTAGAATGACGTCCGTTCCCACAGGCTTTTGAGGTATCTCATCATATTTCCCAAGAGCCTGCAGGAGTAGAGTTATTGTGTAGTCAGTGGGAAGAGTTGCAAATTTAATTGGGGGCCAGCTGCCTGAACCCAGATGAGACAACTGATTATGTCAGAGAAGATGGCAGCATTGGCCCCAGGATGGGGCAACTGAGCAGCAGATCACAGCAGCACAACACTGGATTTACAGGTCGGGTAAGGATGTTTAATGACAAACTCAGCATAATGAGTAGGAAGGGAAAGGACGTAAAATCAGAAAGGAATGTAGCACTACCCCCTTAGGAGTCACTGGGGGGGGGGGGGCTTCAGTCTTGCACAGCCAGGCAACACACATCTTTTTCCTCTACGCTTGCACACTGAGACAATAACCCGTCCTTAGGCTTGTTTTTTTGTGTCTTTTTATATAGGGGTAATAAACTTGGATGGGGTTGAGGGATACATGGGATGCCCAAGGAACTATGAACTGAGAGGACAAACTATGTACAAGTCTATGGACAGGAAGCAAAGTCTTCTTTGAGAGCACTCTTGCTTTCCAGTGAACCTCCTCAGACCCCAGCTGAATCCTCCTCTTCCCCCAGCAGTACTAAAGGTATTTCCCTAGGCAAGGGGATCCAGAAGCTGCCCAAAATCAAACAGTCTCAGCTCAAGACCTAGTTGGGTTCCCCACCTGACTGTGGGGGTGTACGGTTATTCACACTGTCCTTCCTGAGAGCTCTATGGATTGGTGCCCTTCTGCTGGGCTAGCTCCTCCCCTGCTGCTCAGGCTGTCCCTCCTAGTAGACAGTGACACAACGGATGTCCCCTCTTCCAGCACGTGCCTTTAGGTTCACCCATTCCCTGAGCACCCTCCCAGGCTGCACATCTTCTACCTGACACACACTGGCTCACTTCCTGCTGATCAGGCCCATTTAGAGGGTGGTCCTGACCCCAGGTGCCCAGGCTGACTCATGCCCAGGCTGCCTAAAAACCTCATCTAGCTCCCCCTGGCTAACTAGAGGGGCGCTACAGGAGTGAAGTTCCTTTCTGCAAGAATCAAAGTAGAACTCCAACCAAAATGTTTTGTTTTGGATAGAGTGAGGAACCTGAACAAAGTTCTAGCCTTTTCTCACTCCTTGTAAAAATAAAAAAAAAGGTTTTGCCTGAAGCTACTCATTAGTATATAAAAAGCACACCTTACAAATCCTACCTATACATCTGTCAACATCAACAAGTAACCATACATAGTAAAATGGCAGAAATTAATGGATTGCAGACACACATTTTCAGACAGGATTTTAACAAAACATGTGGCTTCAGCCAGCTGTGTTAAATTTTGTGTATATTTTGAGAAGATTGGTAAGGTTTAATTTTTCTATTTTATTATAAGATGTGAGAGATACAAAGTACAGCTTCTGCCCCAGGCAGGCCTTTTCCTTGGGACCCATTTCTATTAATATTATCCAGCCTATTCATGAAAATAAAAAATACGCCATTTATAGAAGCCATCTGCTTCATTTGAGCTTCCATTACTTGCTGTTTTCTGCACCTTTTAGGTGTGTAGGTATATTTTGTATACCAAATTTACATAGCTTACATCTGACCTGCTGTATAGTGTATCAAGGGGATCGTGTAAAAGAAAGCGATAAATAAACAGACATATCAACTAAGAGAAAGGTAACAGATACTATCCAAGGGTGGCACATGGTGTGTAAATTGTGCAATGTGGTATAAATGTGGTAGGGGTGGTAGGTGGGCAGTGTGTATTTAATTTGCTATAAGAAAAGAGAAAAAAAATAAACTCCAATTTCATTAGAACACTAAAGAATAACTAAGGTTCATACTAGTGCGATTTCAGATGTGACTTGAGTCGCACAAAATCACATGACAATGGAAATCACATTGTTTTTAATGATGCCCGTTCACGTCAATGCAACTCAGCACAGTGTGATTTTGGAAAAGGTTTCTGTACTACTTTGGTGAGATTTCAGCATGATTGTAACCCCAAAGAAGATGCAATCCACTTCAGAGTAGCATCCAACTTTCACTACATACTGTAATTGTACTTCGAAAAATTGGATTGCAGCAGTGTGACCTAGCCTAAAGGTAAAACTTTTTTTTTTAGTTTTGGATAGAGTGAAGAGGGATGAGAACACCTGTAACCTGTTAAGATTCACCCCATTTGTCCTGATTAGCATTATCACCAAGAGTGAAAGCGAAAGGAAATCCCAAATTTTAGGTTGTCAGATAAGAAGGAAAGATGGCTGTTTAGGACAAAATGGCTTCATTATAAGAATTTGAATCTGTGCTTATTTCCTTCCTTTACATGTACACTTGGCATATTGCAAAAATAATTCTGATAATTTAACGAAACTTATGATTTACGTTTGAAGAATCTGTGGCAAAGCAGTTCCTGGAATTCGGCATCTGGACACTATTTTTAAAATGGAACCCCAAACCATAAAAGAAAAGGTTCTTGACGAACCATGATCACAAGACAACTCAATGCTTGCTATAATATTAATCTTTGGTCAGTTTTATACCTTGACCCAACCTACACTACATACGTCAATCTGTATACCTATCCTGAAATGCCCAAAAAATTCAAGCAGAGCAACTGATTCATGATACTTGAGCCTGTTTGGTCTCCATGTAGCTACATATTATCTCCTTACTTGGGTATTGCTGACTAACAGGGGTCAGGTATCTTTACTTGAACTGTAAAATTCTATGACACACCCAAACAGGGATAATCTTCCAATGGGGGCACTAGTTCTGGTAACCCTGGTGGCAACCAGGGATTGCCTTACTTAGAAGAAATTTCCTCTCATTTCCTGTTTTTGCTATGGGACAGGAAGTAAAGGGAAACCTCCTTAACTGGGACACCAATGGCAAAAATCCTGACATGGGATATACCCCACAAGCCATTATGTATTTTAGGCTTAAAGTGTTACTAAGCCCACAACAGTAAAATCAGTTTGTATATGCAGTAAAGCATGCTTGTTATACTCACTGTGGAACCTAAGGGGTTAATCCTATGCATTGTGTACAAATGCTGTTTGATCATGACTTCTCTGATCCTCCCCTTCTTCCAGTGTCTCTCTCTTACCTCCTGATAAGTCATATCGTATGGCGTCACTCTGCACATGCTCATTTTGGTGTGCATTGCTAGAGAGGGTTTTTTTCCTGGGAGAGTGCATGTGATCAGCACAGGGCCAATAAGCACTGTCCAGACAGAGGTCAGGGGTTCTGCATCCTCCTAGAGCAGAATGAAAACTCCTCCTATAAGCTTTAACCAGTGCTCTGGTGAATACTGATAGAAGTCACAAGACTACTCTAACTGTTGACGAGAAAAGGTATTTAGCAGTTTATATTTACTAAAATAATTACATTTCCATATGTTTTGTGTACTGTGGGAGACCAGATATAGTGAATGCAAGTTGCTGGGTTTAGTAACACTTTAAGGTAAATTTTAGGTATCCTCTTAAAGGGCAGTTCCATTTTTGCTGAGATACTTTTGAAGAGTCCTCACTACTGAAGGAATACTAGGCTGTTCTTTTTTTTTTTATATTTTCACACTAAGGTGGTTGTAATGAAAGGATATCCTTCCACTTGGCACACAGCTTTAGAAAGGGCATGATAGAAACAACCAGTTGTTATAGGACAGTTAAATTGATATTAAACCATCTTTAAAAAAAAAAAAAATAATAAACAAGTTATAATCACCTGCTCTGTGCAATGGTTTTACACAGAGCTGCACCGATTCTTGTCTTCTAGGGTCCCCCGCCGTGCTCCTGGCTCCTTCTGTTCTGTGAAATGCCCCTATAAGAAGCCACTTCCCATGTGGGCAAGCATGTAAGCTTACTCCTGAGCAACCCTGTGACACAGACAGGGCATCTCAACTTTGACAACCCCCACTACCTTACTTCAGATTTTAACTAGCAGCCGCGGGGAGCCAGTGGCTCCTGCTGCTATAAATCTGCCCTATGGAGGGACAGAGCCGGGAGTGCCACTGTTCTCATGCACAGCGCTGGATCGGGAACGAGCTCAGGTAGGTATAAGGGGAGTCAGGGTGGTTTCTGTGACACAGAAAGGTTTTTTACCTTAATGCATACGATGCATTAAGGTAACAAAAACCTTTAGTCTTTAAAACTACTTTAACCTGTTCCCAACTGCACTATAGCTGAAAGACAGCTACAGCGCGGTCGGCTAGTTCTGGGAGGGCGTCCTTCCTGAACCGTGCTCCCTGCGCATCACAGCTGATCACATGGCTACGGAACAGGCCAATCACAGCCGCTTTTACCATGTGACCAGCTGTGTCCAATACAGCTGATCACCGAGTAAATAGAAAATGCCGGTTATCGGCAGTCCTCTCCTCACGCTGACAGCGCGTGAGGAGAGTAGAGCTGGTAAGCTGCATTTCACAGGGGAACATCTACACTGATCATCAGGGGACTGATAATCAGTGTCCTGGTGATCAGTGTAGCCCCATTAGTGCAGCCAATAGTGCCCATCTGTGCTGGCCATCAGTGCTGGCAATCAGTGTCCATCAGTTAATCAGTGCTGCCCATCAGTGCCACCTAACAGTGTCCATCAGTGCCGTCTATCAATGCCCATCAATGCCGCCTAACAGTGCCCATCAGTTCAGTCTATCAATGCCACCTAACAGTGCCCATCAATGCCGCCTAACAGTGCCCATCAGTGCCAGCTATCAGTGCTGCCTCATCAGCGCAGCCTATCAGTGCCCATCAGTGAAGGAGAAAAATTACTTATTTACAAACCTTTATAACAGAAACTAAGAAAAACTTTTTTTTTCAACATATTTGGTCTTTTTTAGTTTGTATAGCAAAAAATAAAACCCCAGTGGTGGTCAAATACCACCAAAAGAAATCTATATTTGTCTCAAAACAATGATAAACATTTAGTTTGGGTACAGTGTTGCATAACTGCACAACTGTCGTTCAAAGTATGAGAGCGTTGAAAGCTGAAAATTGGTCTGGGCAGGAATGGGGTAAAAGCTCCCAGTAGGCATTCATGGGATTTCCCCCAGTCCCTGGAGATTTATTTATTTATTTATGGTACTTATATAGCGCCGTCAATTTATGCAGCACTTTATATATATATTGTACATTCCCATCAGTCCCTAACCCTCAAGGGGTGTACAATCTAAGGTCCCAAACTCACATTCATACATACACATAATAAGGCCAATTTAGACCAGATCCAATTAACCTACTAGCATGTCTTTGGAGTGTTGGAGGAAACTGGAGTACCCGGAGGAAACCCACGCAGGCACAGGGAGAACATGCAAACTCCAGGCAGGTGGTGCCGTGGTTGGGATTCAAACCAACGACCCTAGTACTGCCAGGCAGAAGTGCTAACCACTTGGCCACTGTGCTGCCCTGCCACTGAGATGGGCCCAGAAGGTAAGAAAGCAACCTATAAATATTCTGGAGCCTGCTAGTCATCATTTCTAAAATAAACACCAAAAACCAAAACACTGAGACTGTTTTTTGAGCCATTTGTGTGTAAAAATACCATTTGCTTGGCTGTGGGTGCTGCAAGAGGGAAATAGGCCAGAAATCCAGCGGCTGCTTCAGGGGTAGCACTACATATACTGAATGTCATCCTTTCCTTTGAAATTCAAAATTATTTGGTTGAATGGATTTGTATCTTACCTAAGGACAGTGATTAGAGCAGCATTTCCCAGCCAGACGTTGCTAGGGGTTCCTTGAGCTGTGGTTGATTAAACCTCCATATGATGGTGCCTACATAGTTCTGGATACTTAGCAGAGCCTGCAGCCTGACACCAGTGATTTGTTTAGCTGTTTGTAAGCATGGGATTCTGAGTACCGATGTAACAACAGCATTCTTTCCATGGACCACCAATGTAAGGGATATTCTTCCCAGTGACCTCTGATGAATTAATTTTAGCAAGGGGTCTCTGAGACCTAACAATTACTACAAGAGTGTCTCTGGGGTAAACATTTGGCTTAGAGACTTGCAGTTTACTGTTTTATACAACTGTAAGGAACTCTGCACTGTAAGCCACTGGTTTGTAACAGTAATACAACCTAAATTAAAGTTGGGTTTCCACCTCTTTCAGCATATATACTATCAGTGAAAGATACAGCTTCTGTGGTGTAGGATTTGGAAGAGTTTGTAAAACCATGATACTGTGAGTGCCCACAGGTACATTTAGCTGTCTAAACTCAATGTAAAGTTATATCAACTGACTGTGTTTTTGCTGCCCATAGAATACTGGTTACTAGAAATAAGAGCTCAGCTGGGAGTGTCTCTATTAGGCAGACTTGCAAGCTTGTAGAATATAATCATCTAATGTGAACTTCTTCCCAGGGGAGGACTGACAACTCATGGGGCCCCCAGGCAATAGGGGATCATGGGGCCCCTGTGTTCTTGCCCACACCCAAAAAAGCCTATGAAAAAGCCAATGAAAGGTACCAGGGGCATCTCATGGGGCCCCCTACTGACCCAGGGCCCTCGGGCAGTGCCAGAGTGCTCGAATGGTCAGTTCGCCCCTGCTTCTTCCTGTGGTCAGCTTTAGTCTTAACTAATAGATAGATAATAGGTATGTCCACACTTCTGGCAGTGCAGGCATACTTCTTCTTGGCTGTGGCCTGTCTCCAGAAGACTCATTTATCCATAGCCTGGCAGGTCAATAGTTGTGTTATATGCATGCCATGGCTCTTTCATTCCTATGGAGGTGCGGAACTTTGCCAAAATGGCTAGAGGCTGCCATGAGAGCAGCTCATTGATAGGAATGTATGCAGGAGAAAGAGGACTCAGTTGGAGTGTTCATTGTGAAGGTTGTGCAAAGCTGGCAAGATCGCAAAATGAAGACTGGAACAGGGAGGAAGGCAATGATTTTACCACATGGGCTACGCTAATGAAAGAGCACAAATAGCCAAGGTGCACTGTCAAGCAGAGGATGTGCCGGATCAGCCTCTTCAAACCCAAAGTATACAAACAGGTGAAAGGAGGACCTGTGTACTATGGCTTCCAATACAAAATCCTTTATTATAGATGTTAATGTATAGATAGCTAAAACGCTCCCCCCCAAAACCTATGCCGACTAATCTGTGTAAAAAAGATATATATGTGATCTGGCTCCCCTGTGTCAGCCAGTGGTGGTTACAGGGGAGAGGAGGGAGCTCTGACAATGGATAAGCCATGAGTCTATGGGTGATATTGCTCCAGCCATTTTCAAGCAGTCTCTCCCTTGTAGTCGCTGCTTGCTGACAGGGGATCCTGTGACCTGAGCAGACTGAAAATATATACATCTTTTTCACAAAATCTGGTCAGCATAGGTGTTAAGAGGAGGGAAGGAGCATATTTAAGACTAGTAAGTTTTAGCCTGGAATTCTACTTTCTATCTGGATTTGGGCAATTACAGAGGAAAATCTTTGATTAGCTAATAGCATGTACCATTGCCTTACCATCCCTGTGGGTAGTGACATATTCCAGTTTGATGTATCACTACTGTCAGGTTCACTTTAAAATAAAAATTTACCTAACTACAGCTTCAGTTTTGCTCCTTTATTAGTACAGCCTGAATTTCTGGACACCGTATGTTACACAGAAAATACCATAAATTGCCAAATGTCTTTCCCAAGTGCTTAGATGAGTACTGGTTACTCTCACAAGAGTGGCCAAAACATACTCAATCATGTGTCTGGCCCAGCTCTTGTAAATGTATCTTGTTTTTTTCCCTGTCAATTGCAATATTTTCTTACATATTTAATTGTTTAATTAACATTGTGTGAAGACATTTGAGAAGGATACTATCTTAAGAAAATTGAATTTGACAAAATTAAAGACTGAATCTGTGAGGAACACATGTTAATAATTGAATCAATAGGAATCAATTTAGTTGGTAAACAGCACAATGTCTTATAATTATTCGTCCTCTGAAAGGGTAATGATTTGACAATATTGCAAATTGCTGTTCTGACAGCACTTTTTTATGTATATTAAAATTTCAGAACGGATAAAAACGAGGGAGGTTTTTAGAAGGATCTTTCTCAAGTAGAAACTTTGGTTGGTTGGCTCATGTCTACATGCCGCACCACTGTCTGATGTGTGTGTGGTTTAGCCTAATATTTCTAATGAGTTTCCTTGCAATAATGGGGCTAATAATATGTCTACTGTCATGCCAGTCCCTTCAATTTACTGCACCAATGTACCCAATACAGTACTGATTTCCTCTCAAGGGCAGGCAATGGTGCAGTTGGAAGGACTTCTAGCACGTGATACCATTTAGTTATATAACTAACACTTGGACATTGAAAAGGCTGCAGTGGTGACTGAAAAACAGCTATTTACTGATATTACATTGTAATATGTGTAGGTATCTTCTTTGGTGGTAGCCACAGAACCTAAAACTGTTCTCCACATGCAGCAGGCCACTTCCTCTTAAATATACATAGCAGATCTAACTTAAACGTATGCCAAATTTGACCCATGGAGTAGTATATAAAAGTGATTAGAAAGTTTGTAAAATAACAAACATGTTATACTTTCCTGTTCTATACAATGGTTTTGCACAGAGCAGCCCTGATCCTCCTCTTCTTGGGTCCCCTTCTGGCAGTCCTGGCTGCTCCCTCTGCTGAGTGCCCCCAATAGCAAGCCTCCTATGGGGGCACTTGAGCAGGCTCCCTCCCTAGCCACGCACCTGTGAATGCACATAGTCCATTCACACACAGAGTGTGGCTCTGCCCTGCCCTCAACTCTCTTCTCATTGGCTCACTGGTTGTGACTGACAGCAGTGGGAGCCAATGGCTTCAGATGCTGTGTGAGCCAATGAGGAGAGACCCAGGAGAATCATGGCCCTCATGCACATCGTAGAATAGTGACCAGGCTCAGGTAAGTATAAGGGGGGGGGGACTGAGGGGGGAGCTGCACCCAGGAGGTTTTTACCTTATTGCATAGAATGCATGAAGGTGAAAAACCTTAATCTTTTAGAACCACTTCAATTATCATTATTATTAAGTGTCATCAACTCGAGTCTGGGTATTAGTTGATGAATAAGAGCTCAAAAAACAAGTCTGCTTTGTGCTAGTCTTGTGAGATCCTCCAGTGTCATCCCCACAGCTGTAGCCAATGTGTCCAACCACCTAGTAGTTGGTCTCCCCTATTCACCTGGTTCCTTTGCTCCTCCCAAACAATATTTCCTTTTCCAGCGATCTCTCCCTTCTGACAGTGTGACCAAAATAGGACAGTCACAATTTCATCATTTGGACTTCCAATGACATAGCAGGTCTGATCCCTTCCAAAATCAATCTATTAGTCTATGGGCTGTCCATGGCACACATAAAATCCTTCTCCAACACCAAAGCTCAAATGAGTTGAATTTCTTTCTATCCTGTTTCTGTAGCGTCCAGCTTTCACAACCGTAATTGACAACTGGGAAAATGAGAGTATAGACAAGTCTGATCTTTGTTTTCAGTGTAATTTCTCTGCATTTGAAAACTTTGTTGAAAGTCTTCATTGTGTAGATACCAAGTGTAATTCTGCAGAATATTTCATCACTGCTGGTTGCTTTCTTGTTTATGAGAGAGTCTAGCAGATTAAAATGATTTACAACTCCTATTCTGTGATCATCAAGCCTAAAATTGTTGTCATTTTCTGTGTTCATGATCT